GTAAAAACAATTTCAAATTAGTTTTTTAAATCTTACTTGGTGCATATGGGTCATGGCGTGGTTTGCAATTCTGGAAACCGTTCTGACTATTTTCCTTTGAACTTGGTTTATAGACACTTTTGAAAGGGCTAGAGAAACATTTTTTGGCAGTGTGAGAAGAACTTAAGACAGCCGAACTTCCTCCGACTTGAAAGCATCTGCCACTGTTGAAATCATCTGGAGAGATTACACCCATGACTTCTATTTCTTTTCCACCAATCATCATTGTTTGACCCTCTTCAGTCTTTTCAAGCTCTTTGCATTTATATCCAATGCCTTTAAATCGAGAAGGAAAGAAATTAATTTATTGACACTTCAAGATGACTAGTGTAACCATAGTCTCCTTCCTATAACCGTATAGAATGAAAACTGTACTTTGAATGTAAATTGCCTCATATAACCTGTTAGCCAGAATAAAAATATAATTGATCATTTTAGTAGAAAATAAACACCAAAAAATCCTAAGAAATAAATAATTCTATAGCTATAAAAATTAGCCAAGTTTTAGAGAGGCAAGGCTTTTTTAAATTACTGAAGACATAGCCTATTGCATTCATAGTTTTGCCATCTGTTGTCTGTAGAAAATCAAGCCAAGAAAAGAGTGTAGTAAGCTACACAGACCCTCTTTTCTTGCGAACAAACTAGAGAACTACCAGATCAGCTCTGGTTCCACTTAGGAACAGCTGGAAATGTGAAGAACTAGCAATAAAAGCAATGCTACCACAACCAGCACCGCACAACTCCACACGACAGCACAGTAAAGACACACCTGTCACAGAGGCAACTGATGTCCACGTTCTAGCTGTTGAATAAAAAGTGAGATATTTTATAATATCAAGCTTGTTTGAATTATCATTAATTCAACAGACATTTATTAAGTGCTGCCATGTGTAAGGTGCTATTGGAATATAAATATGAGCAAGTCAGTCACAGTCTGCTCCAAATGAACTCATTAATCAGACATAATGGAATTTTAAGGCTCTGTGCTTGTCTGCATTAAAGGCATAGTTTCTGTGTCACTATGAGGGGCAAGATCTGTGTGCATCATAAACTGTTTTAAGTTTCTAAAGACAAAAAATAGAAGATTGCCAAATTTTAGAAAACATGACAAGAGCCTTCTAAACTAGCTGGAAATTGCTACAATTCCCTATTAAAACTGGGCTAAGATTGTAACAATCTGTACCAATTGGTAACTATATAATATATATTCTTCAATATTCATGATAGGGCTTTGATTTAAAAAGAAGTTACCTGGATGGTGTTCCTAAACACCCAAGACCCACCATTCTCCAAACTATCTTAATTCAACAGCAATCTTGATCTCTTCACATTAATGAAGATTATAGCTTTATCCTCATATAGAGTCCAATGCTATTAATCCAATTATTATTAATTACATGAAAATGGGAGACAAGAATGAACTTAAATTTGAGGCATCTTCAGAAGTCTCTGTAGCTCCAAGATCTCTCATTTCACTTTGCTGCTTGGTGATGACTGCCTCAAACATCTCTAGAATCTCTATTCCTACATGAACAATACTTAGGTGGGGATGGTATGGCTCAGTGGTAGGGCACATGCTTAGCACACAGGAGGTCCTGGGTTAAACTCCCAGTACTTCCACAAAAAAAAAAATTAAATGCTGTATATCCAATTTATTTAAAAGAAAAATTGCTTGCATTAAAGGCAATTAACTTCCAAGTTAATATATTAATTAATGTTGTAATTAAGCAACGAGGTCTTATGTTTGGATGTTTTCACTTTGAAAGCCAATAAAATGTTTAAATCACTGGTG